TTGGGAGTGCGACAGCTAGGAGTACAAAGACGGCTTTCAGTGATGTGTGCTGGTTGTCAGAGCTCTTGGTAATTGTGAAGAAGAGCTCCCCAAAAAACCTGTCGGCCGACTGTCGGTCAACTGTCGGCCGACAGTCGGCCGACAGTTGGTCGTCTGTCGGCCGACAGTCGGCCGACAGTTGGCCGACAGACGGCCGACAGGTTTTGCCCGAAATATAGGCTACCTGTCGGCCGACAGTGGACCGACAGTCGGCCGACTGTTGGTAATGTGTCGGTAACCTGTCGGTAGCTTGTCCGTGAAACGTTAACACAAACCTTAATGTTTTCTCTCGGTTTTCGCTTGATATAACATCCAACATGTGTAATACGTTGACAATTGACTTTCAAGATTTGGTGGCTCCTAAAGGAGCCGTTTTGTGAGTGGTGAAATATACAAGATACTTCACTCGTAGAATCGTGATTTTAGCGGCGCGCGCCTAAATCAATTATCGCATCACGCATCCAAGTCTAATTATCGAATTGTTGCGTATAGTAATTTATTACTTAACATAACGAGTAAAAAGATTCACAGTTGTATCATTTATTAAACTTGAAATTGGAAATAGCAATTCATCCCAAACCTGCAAGATAGAGGACGATGTTAGCAACACAAATGCACAAGGTAAACATTATTGATACATACATAACATACCATAAGAGGCAGCGTTGCATTGTTGGGCGATTTGAACGAAAGTGTTTGTATTGATACGTAGCTTGTGGTTATCAGAGTTTTTGGCCGAGTTTTCGATTAAATTATCTTCCAATGCGATTCTTAGATTGTCTGGTGTGTTGTAAATTACGCAAGTGATATATCCTATACGCATCTGATAACAACATTTTGGAAGAAACGTTTCTTTACATACTTTCAACTTTGCCGTCGATCGGTAAGTAGGTGAAGTCTGTCGAGTCATACATGACCATTACGGATTGTAATGTCACGTTAACTGTTCGTTTTTAACTCAATTTTTCTTTTTTCTTAACCTGTCGGTAACCTGTTGGTTAGCTGTCGGTAGACTGTCGGTAACCTGTCGGCCGACAGTTGACCGACAGTCGGCCGACAGGTTTTTTGGGGAGCTCTTCTTCACAATTACCGAGCTCTTATTCCACTCATTAAGGACCCGCCTGATAGATCTAAGATCTTTGTTAAGCTAGTGCTGGAGGGACAAATGAACTCAGCACTGCGTTTTCCGAGCAAGACGTCTAATGGGGGCGAGTCAGCGTTAATTAATGACGTCATGAGTCAACAAAGAGAAAAACGTCCTAGCGCACAACCCGCTAAACTCGGTTCAATGCTCTTTGGACCGATGGACAATAAGATACCGGAGTCTGTGTACTCGGAGATGAATGGAGAAATGATAAGGCAAGCGGAATTGGGAATGAAAGGATAACGGGGACCGTCTGGGGCTGATGCTAGTGGCTTTCGGAGGATATTGGCTTTTAAGTCCTTTAAGCAATCATCAACGAGACTATGCGACGCATTAGCTACCATGACCAGGACCTTGTGCACGCATTATGTTGATCCAGCTACCATAGAACCTCTGGTGGCGAGCCGATTGATCCCCCTGGACAAAGGGGTGGGCGAGGTGAGGCCTATAGTAGTTGGGGAGGTGATACGGCGAATTAGCGGGAAGTGTGTTATGAATATTGCCAAAAAGGGTGTTGTGGCAACTAGTGGGTCTCTTCACTTTATGCGCTAAGTATTCAGCGTCTCATTACGAGTCTACAAGCGGCTTCGTGTATGAAGCAATGCTTCGTGTATGAAGCAGTGCAGATGACGCAAGCGGAGCCGGCTCGACCGCAGAAATCAGGAGATGGTGGGATACTCTAAATACCCTTGGTCCGGATTTTGGTCATTTTCCAAACGTCAAGAAGTGCTGGATTATAGCAAACCAGATATAGTGGAGAGCGTGAGAGCTGCGTTTGAGGACACGATTGTCACTTCCGTGTGACAGCCGTGTCTGTCACAGCCTTGTCTGTTACAGCCACAAGCCTGCTATGCAGCGTACACCCTCGGCTTGATACGTCGGTGGACTTATTTTTTGCGGACTCTGCCTAATATCCATGATTTGCTGGAGTCCTTAAAGGACGTAATCTAAAGTGCAAAATCAGTCACACAGAGATCTGCAGCAAGGCTTTTCATGGCTTGTATAAAATTCGCCAAATTCCTTAGTCCTGAGTCCACGAAGATTCTTTGTTACAGCCGGAAATGGACGTGACACTGTTTATCAATTTTCAAATGAGACGTTTTAGCTTAGATGAAGTGATTAAGCGTAAAAATCCCGGATGTGAGCACATGGTTTTGTCTTTTTGTTGTGTTCGCTCGTTCAATTTTGGATGGTCGCCTGAATACGATTGTAAAGCGTATTTGGAAACTAATACAGTCTAGAATTGTTCCTAATTTGGTTTTAGTGGATATTTTTTTGGTAACGGGAACAATTTTCTGGTCCTTCTAGCCGGATAAAGCGAATGAAGCGAGCGAATGATAGTTGATGAAAACGATAGTGGTGAACTGGAATCGGCCGAACGATCAGCAATTGCAACTGTGAAAACAAAAAGAGCTGTGGTAAAACGAAGAATTACGAATACCTTAAAGAGATTACAAGGTGCGATTGAGCAATATGGCAGGAAATCTATTATTCGTCGTTATGTAAATATTCTGGAAGAGTCGCTCGATGAAGCGCAAGTTTTAAACAATCAACTGTTGGATATGCTCCCGGAACAGGAACATGAAAATGCTCTTAACTGGTATGAAGAAGAACTAGAAAGAGTTCAGGAAGCGAAATTAGAAGCTGAAGCACATCTGGAAGAAAGGAAAGAGGAGAGTTATAGCGCGTTAAGCTCACTGAAACTGAGTAAATCCTCAGCAGATTCCCACGTGGCCGAAATTCGCGCCAAAATGGCGTCGGCAGAAATAAAGGCAAAACAGCTAGAAATGGAAGAAGAACGACGAAAGAAAGAGTTTGTGAAACAGCTGGAGATAAAACACAAAATCGAACAAGCACGTAACGAGGCTGAAAAAATTGAATTCGAAGCACAAGAAAGGAGAAAAACCCAAGAAGCAAAGGACGAGGCCGCACGCCTTACGGCAGCAGCCGAAAACCTTGAGATGGTACGAAACTTTAATCATTACAATGACCCTGAGTCTTTACCTTATCGTCTCCGGGATTTTGATGATGATTCGCTAGAGTTACCCCACTGTCTGGGTTTACGCAAAGTGTACAAACAAGTCATGTTACACTATTATCCTTATCGTCCCAACCACAGTCTGGAGCCGTGTACAATGTACATACAACTCAGGTTACATCATCACCAATGTCTATGAAACCAAGACCAAGCGTTTCATTCATGGTTCCCAAAAGCTCGTCACAGTCCAAAACATCAACACCAGTTTACCAATCCTGGGTTGAATGTTTACCAAAAACAGCACAAACTGATATTGCATCAAGTCCTGAGAGGAAACATGTTACTTATAGCTGTTCAAGTCTTCCTAAGCTACAGCTCAAGAAATTTGACGGAGACCCCTTCATCAATGTTCAAATCAATCGTTCATGATGCTGATTTGTCTTGGAATGGAAAGATGCAACACCTTCAAAACTATGTGGTTGGTAGAGCGAAGTCTGCGGTGGAAGGGTATGGGTACAGTGGGGATGATTACCATGAAGCCTTGAGAGAACTGGAAGCTAGATTCGGGAAACCCTCACTAATTGTAAAGGTTACACTCGACAGATTGAGAAAGACATCACGAATACAGAATGACAGACCGCATGAAGTGCGGAACTTATCAGATGTTGTGTCAACTACTGTCTGGATCTTTACAAGGTTTGGATACATAAATGACCTAGCAGCCGAAGCTAATATCTCTATTGCAGTGCAAACTATCCCCAGATCTCCAAGTGAAGTGGAAGGACCATGTGAGAACAAGCAATTTACATCAACCAAACCTGGAGAACTTTTGTAGCTGGCTAAAGGGCCATGCAGATATTTATGATGACTGCTTCAAGTTCCCATTCAGAAGCCGTTATGGAGGTGCTGGTGAAAAGCAAAATACCTTCTTTGGTAACCTCTCATCACGTAACAAGCAAGCAAAACCTTGTTTAATGGGAGATGGACAGCAGCATAACCTGTCAGCTTGCCCTAAGTTTAAAGCCTTAAGTGTAGAAGAACGCCTCAGTGAAGTTCAAAAACATAAGCTGTGTTTTTGCTGCCTCCGATCTGGTCATTGGCTTACCACTTGTAGGAGCTTGAAACCGTGCGGAGTGAATGGGTGTACTCGAAGTCACAATGCATTACTGCACTCATCAAGAAATGTAACACCTGATGGGAACAATGAAACAGCTGCATCAACTAACCAAGCGGCAACAGAAGCAGTTACCCCATCCACCGAGCATTCTAGTGCATCTCATAAGAGTAGTAGTGACTCTGTTTTATTACAAGTTGTGCCTGTTACCCTGTATGGGCCAAAGGGATACTTCAACACATATGCAATGTTAGACACTGGAAGTACTTGCAGTCTGCTGGCAACAGATGTTGCAAAAAATCTTGGCCTTGAGGGTCCAGTGGAAAGTGTTCTGCTGAATGGAATTTAGAAATCATCAAGGCTGCTGACTAAGCGTGTTAATGTTTAAGTTAGTCAGTTGAATGACTTTGGTATAAGGTTTGATGCGCACAGAGTTTTAGTGGTTGATCGCCTGAACGTGCCGGAAAGAAGGGTGAAAATCATAGAATTACAAGAGAAATGGCCACACCTTGCAGACTTAGAGTTGACTGAAGTTTCTGCAACTCGAGTCGCGTTACTCCTTGGAAGTGATGTCCCAGAACTTATTGTGCCTCTTGAGATTCGATATGGACCGAAAGGTTCTCCTGTTGGTGTTCGCACTAAATTGGGGTGGACTGTTACTGGTCGTCTACCTGGTTATATTGAAGATGGTGAATCTTTTTACAAGGTTCATTTAGCAACCCCTGATGGAGTGCTTCATGAAACAGTTAAAACTTGGTGGCGAACCGAGGAACTTTGGATGTCGATATGACTGTGATGTGCAGCGTTCTGTCGAAGATGGAAAGGTGTTGAAGTTTCTGAGTGAGCGGACGCAGGAGGTAGAAGGTCGTTATGAGGTTCCGCTGCTTTGGAAGGACGAAAATATCCAACTTCCTGAGAATCGTGTTGTGGCTATTCACCGACTTGGTCTTCTAGAGAAGAGACTTCCACGTGATCTTGAGTTGGGCGAAGCCTACAAGAAAACAATTGACACAGACCTAGAAAAGGGGTATATCAAGAGACTCACCCAAAGAGGAAACTGCTGACCAAGCAAAGCGTACGTAGTACCTTCCTCACCATCCCGTACTTAACCCTAATAAACCTGGAAAGGTCAGACGTGTATGTGATGCAGCGGCTAAGTATCAAGGGTCTTCATTGAACAGTCACCTTGTATGTGGACCTGACTTGTTGAACAATCTTGTTGGAATCTTCATGCGATTCAGAGAAGAAAAAGTTGCCCTTTCTGGAGACATAGAGGCAATGTTTAACCAAGTTGCTGTCCCACCAGAGGATCAAGCTGCCCTCCGTTTTCTGTGGCGCCAATCATCGGAGTCTGAAATAGAAGTCTATCAGTACCTGCGACATATCTTTAGGGCTAAGTGTGCACCAACGTGTTCTAATTATGCCCTTTTAAGGACGGCAGAGGACAATGGACTGCAGTACGCTATTGCTGCTCGTGCTGTTAGGCGCAATTTTTATATGGATGATTTCTTTAAGTCTGTAAAGACGACAAGTGACACACTTGAACTGCAACAGCAACTTGTTGTGATGCTAAAGCGTGCCGGGTTTAACTTGACCAAGTGGGTTTCGAACGTGAAAGAGGTAATAGAACGTATACCAGAATCAGAAAGAGCTCCCTCCATCAAGGTGGTAGAGGAAGAAATATTTATGCCTGTGGAACGTACTCTCAGTGTCATTTGGGACACAAGATTGGACTGTTTTGTTTATAAAGTGGTGAAAAGAGATATAGCAGACACGCGACGTAAGATTCTGAGTTTGATAGCGTCATTGTTTGACCCAATTGGTTTCCTGGCTCCATTCCTGGTGAGAGCGAAGCTCCTCCTTCAACAAGTGTGGCAATTTGGTATTGGCTGGGATGAAACTCCTCCATCAGAGTTCCTCTTAGAGTGGTCCAAATGGCAGAAAGAGCTGAATAGTCTATCAGAATTCTTGGTTCCTCGATTTTACAGTCATGTTTCAGACAGTCCCACCGTTATCCAGCTTCATGTGTTTGGTGATGCAAGTGAACAAGCATTCTGTTCTGTAGCCTATTTCGGATTCAGTTACCCCAATGGTTCTGTCAAGTGTGTAACAGCTAAGACGCGTGTAGCTCCTAAGAAACCTTTGAGCATCCCTAAACTAGAGCTGCAAGCTGCAGTTTTAAGTGCAAGGTTATCTACTGTGGTAATCAAGGAACATGATTACAGGATAGACTCTACCTACCTGTGGACTGATAGTAGCACGGTGTTTCAGTGGATTCGTGGTGAATCTAAGCGACACCCCGCCATCATTGCGAACCGAGTTGGGGAGATTCTGGACACAACTGAACCAAGCCAATGGAATCATTGCCCTGGTGCTCTTAACCCAGGAGACGATGGTAGCAGAGGACTTCCAGTCACAGCTATCACATCAGAGAGTAGATGGTTGAATGTTCCTGTATTTTTAACCCTTTCTGAAGAAAGGTGGCCTAAGGGAAATTCAAAGCTTGAATCCTCCGGCCAGCAGAAACAAGAGACTTCAGCGTACAGTGCATCGCAAGCTCAAACTTCAAAGGAAGAGTTCATTTCGTTAACCAAGTATTCATCCCTAACACGACTTCTTAGAGTAACTGCTTACTCCTTCCGATTTTTCTACAGGACTGACCGTCAAAGTGGTCCATTGCTAGTAGAGGAGTTGGAGCGTGCTCAAAAGTTCTGGATTGGCACCGCCAAGTGAAAAGTTTTCCTCAAGAGATTGCAACCCTCAAGAGAAACCAGCAGGTCTCTCCCAAGAGTAGACTGGCCTCTCTTTCTCCCTTCCTCGATGGAGACGAAATTGGTCGGGTCGGTGGACGGATCGAGAGGGCAGATATTCCATTCTCAAGTCGACACCCCAATGTGTTATCACCTAATAATGAGCTGAGTCGCCTCATCGTTATGGACTGTCATGAGAGACTGAGGCATGAAGGTGTTGAACATGTTCGAAACGAACTGAGACGACAGTATTGGATCCTACGTTGCCGTACAGCTGTAACGAAGATTCTACATCGATGTTCATACTGCAGAAGGAGAAGAGTAAAGCCAGAACCACCTTTAATGGCGGGACTACCCGCTGACCGCCTGCAGGTTGCACCCGCATTCTCAAAGGTTGGAGTAGATTTCTTTGGGCCTCTGAAAGTGAAGAACCTCAGGAAGCAAGAAAAAAGATATGGCTGCCTTTTTACTTGCCTTGTAACTAGAGGAGTACATCTCGAAGTCGCCCACTCCTTGTCTACTGATTCTTTCATTATGTCTCTCCGACGATTTACGAGGAGAGGTAAATCGACTGTTATACACTCAGACAATGGTACGAACTTTGTTGGGGCGAATCGCGAAATACAAGAGTGTCTTAAGGGGTGGAATCAAGACAAAATTGCAGGCGCGCTGAGTAAAGAACGAATTCAATGGATATTCAACCCTCCTGCAGCACCCCACATGGGGGGAGTATGGGAACGTTTGGTGAGATCCTGCAAGAAAGCCCTTAATGTTGTTCTGCAGAATCAAGTTCTGATGGATGAGGTGTTATTAACTGCAATTACTGAAGTTGAATCCCTAGTCAACAGTCGTCCATTGACTGAAGTGAGTTCAGATGCGGACGATCTTGAAGCGTTAACCCCAAATCACTTCCTCATTGGCAGAGCAACCCCCAACTTGCCACCCGGAATCTTCGCTGACAAGGAGATAACAAGCCAAAAGCGCTGGCGACAAGCGCAAGTCATCACCACCCACATTTGGAAAAGATGGTTGCATGAGTATTTACCAGGTTTAACTGCACGCAAGAAATGGTTCCAAGCTGTACCTAACCTGAAGGTTGGTGACCTCGTGCTTATAGTTGACTATGGAACTCCAAGAGGGTGCTGGCCTCTTGGTAGGATTGTGACCGTTTCTGACAATGTTGTAAGATCAGCTGAAGTCAAGACAAAGTTTGGTCTATTAAGACGCCCTGATGCAAAATTAGCCTTTTTTGAAGAGTGTTCGCCTAACTGATGTAGCCGAACACGGGGGGAGGATGTTACAGCCGGAAATGGACGTGACACTGTTTATTCAATTTTCAATTAGATGAATTGATTAAGTGTAAAAAAACCCAGATGTGAGCACGTGGTTTTTTTCTTTTTGTTGTGTTCGCTCGTTCAATTTTGGATGGTCGCCTGTATACGATTGTAAAGCTTATTTGGAAACTAATACAGTCAAGAATTGTTCCTAATTTGGTTTTGGTGGATATTATTTTGGTAACGGGAACACTCTTGTTCACGCATTTGTGACTTCACATTTGGACTACTGTAACTCTCTTCTCTATGGCGTCCCCAAGTACCAGACAGATCGTCTTCAGAAGGCGCTTAATGCCGCTGCTCGATTAATCTTTAGGATTTCAAAGTGTGATCACATTTTGTCCGCCTTATCTCATCTTTACTGGCCTCCTGTGACTTATCCCGTTCATTTTAGGCTGTTACTCTTAGTTTATAAATCTCTAAACAATCAAGGCCCGCAATACATTCAAGAATATCTGCAGCTACACTCCATTTCTGGTCATCAACCACGTAACTGTGACCAGGGCCTTCTTAAGATCCCAAGAACTACTTTTAAGACTTTTGGTGATCGCGCCTTTGCCCGTTCCGGGCCTCTTCTGTGGAAGAAGCTGCCGCTTGAAATTCGAAACAGTCAGAGTGTAACCATTTTTAAGTCCAAGCTTAAGACACATCTGTTCAAGCTGGCTTACAATTTATTTTAACATTTTTAATAATTTTAACATTTTAAAATTTTTCATATTTTTCATATTTCATCGTTTAATCGTTTTAATATTTTTATAGAATATTTTGTAAAGCGCTTTAGAATATTTTTATAATTTTGGCGCTTTAGAAATGTAAATTATTATTATTATCATCATCATTATTATTATCATTATTATTATCATTACTATTATTATTATTATTATCATTATTATTATTGTCATTTTTATCAAATAATAATAATTCTTTATTCACTATAATCACTAAAAATATTTACAAAAAATTATGATAAAATCCTTTAAAAAAATCCTCAAATACATTAAAATGTTTAATAAAAATCTAAGAAAAACCTAACGGATACACGCTTCGTTTACGTTTACTTCTTGAACTTTAAAGAGGAAGAAGATAAAAAATAAATGTTATATAAAAAGATTAAAAAAACCATTCTCTAAATCCTGCTTGTTCTTTTTCGATCTCAAAGTCACAATGTTCAATGTTCAGAGGGACACGCGTAGTGGTGTGTGAACCTCTTAGGCAAAGTAAGGCCTAGTTCAAACGTCGATCTTTACATGTACCGAACCTAATTGCAATTTGGGTCGACTCGAATAATTAAGAGCGGCAGTTGATTCAAACGTCGATCCGAATTTAGTCGATCCTAATTGCAAAACTGAACATAACTCCATTGTAGTCAGCGGTTAATGCCTACCAAAATGGCGGAAAAAAATGCGGGAAGCACAACTTGTGGAAATGAAGAGCTTGTTTTTCTTGCAAATGCGATTAAGGAGGGTAGAAAAAGGCGACTCAAGATGCAGTTAGCATTAAACAACCTTGCTGCCAGGAGAAGACGAGTTTTGGAAGCTTTAGGTTTAGGTTTAGCTTTATAAAAAATTTAAAAAATTTTCCTTCTACGGACTCGAACTCGTTACAAAAAATACTTTTAATGGCTTATATTATAGACAATACAAGCTATTCATTTAATATTATGAAGCCATACAAAAGAGGAGCACGAGCCTTCCTCCTTTCCCGCCATATTGTTTGAATGGTTCGAAGGCTTTCGCGCATGGCACGTAAGCGAACTTTCTTGAATTGTGGGTAAAACATAATTATTTTAACGTATGTATAATGTATGCATTAAGTTCGGTACATGTAAAGTACGACGTATGAATCAATGCCGATCTTTTACCGTTCTATCCGACTAGCCGAGTCGGATAGAACGGCACTGTCGATCCGAATACAAATCTGCCGATCCTAATTGATTCAAACGTCGATCTTTACATGTACTTAATAGAAACGTTAGGTTCGGTACATGTAAAGATCGACGTTTGAACT